GGGATAACGTATGTGTTACGAATGATGATCTTGCCTATGATCACTGATGCATTTTAGGCAAGTGGATTTGTGAACAAGCTGGTTTCGCTCACCTTCGACAAGCCAAAGAACAAACGTAAGTTTTTTTACCGGTAATAATGACACTCCCTCGAACTTGTTTTGGCAGGGAAAAAGAGCGACCAGAAAGACAAGCGTCCACTCCTTCGCCCAATAATATGCATCTGTAATGACCAAAATGCCAATGCACTTGCTAAACTCCGTCCTCACGCCCGGCAAATTCGGTATACGAGACTTGCCGATAGTCATATTGTCAAGCGTCTTCGCGAGATTTGCGAGTTGGAGGGTTTACGCGCTGATACCAGGGCTCTGAGTACCTTGGTCGGCGTGGCCAAAGGCGATCTCCGAGGCTGTCTCAATACTCTGCAGGTGTGTACTTACTTGGTGTACACACCATGCTTATAACATCATTTTCAATCTTTATAGTTCATCAAGTCTCGCAATGATGAAGTAACCGAACCTCTCATTCGCCGTGCTACGGTGGGCATGAAGGAGGGGGACACTACCGCAACTTCCGTAATCAACGAAATATTTGCACCTTTATCCCGAAAACGTGTCAAAGAGCTTGGTATGGGTGAAGAAGAAGAGGCACGATACGTGAACCGACTAAGCCATACAATTGAAGGACTGAACAATCCTGCAAGTATAGCAAATGGTCGGTGCAACATCTATGACATCCATTCCTTCTTTTTTATACCCAAGTATAGGCTGTTTTGCGCATTATATCAATTGTCGCCGACACGATGCAAACTTGAACCATTACGAGAAGGCTGGCGAATGGTTGACGACCTTCGACTCCTTTTCGTCGGTCATGTATACAGACGGGGACTTCGCGCTGCATACATACCTGTCGTATTTTCTGGTCCCTTTCCACCCGCTATTCCGAGAACGAGGGGAAAATCGGGTAGAGCGAGACAGTTCGGACTGGGATGTAAGCGTCTACTTTTTGCGTGGTTGCAAGATATTTACTCCTAGTAGAACTTGCAGCTGACACGCGCAAACGAAGAAATTTATAAATCGTTAGCACACGGTATCCGCTCAATCGGTCGCACTGCAGGAGCCAATAGACACCTCGTTACAGGACAAGTCTTGCCACTCGAATTTGCGCCATTTATCAATCGTATAATCTCCCCTCCTTTGCGACCAGTCAGTGGATCTTTCCATACTTGCTTGCCATCTCAAAATGTGTATATCTCAGGTCAACAGTCAAGTGATAAAGCCACAAGAAAGAGCCCTGCTCTTACGTTTGGTGGAGATTATGGTGTCTTTTGAACTTCGCTTTGTGCAAGAAAAGGCCGAGGATGGCCAAAATGTGTTTAGGCTTGACCCGTAAGTTCTGCATGACGCATCCCCCTGCTGACTGATGTAATTCGTTTCGCATAGTCCAATTGATGTTTTTGTTACCTATGACGGTAAGCGCGCCGAAGATATTACAGTTTCTCGGTATGCTGTACGACAGTTGGTCGCCACTGAGGTTTGTGAGTGTCAATGAATATGAAATTACCTTTCTAACTCGACCCAAGATTGACGCCGCACTCGTTGCAAAGCAAGCAGACGCAGTGGAGAAAGGAAAGGAACAAGCAAAAGCCAACTTCTTCAAAAAGTCTGTTTATCTGTTCATTTGGTGTCTGCATCGCTTACTTGACCATCAGATCAAAGAAGGGCGCCACGGAAAATGTCGATGAAGCTAATGAGCCCATGGAAGTCATAGAAGGTAACGGCGAACTGCGCCGCGTGGATGCCTCATCTGAGCCAGGCCCCGAAAACAAACGAGCACGCACTTCCGAGAAAGTGGATATTGCAGATAAGGTTAGGATGATTTTGTATTGTGCAGACTATCTGCTGAATTCGTCGACTAGCCACCTGTAGACTTCTTTGGAAGACCAATCGCTATGAAGAAAGATTTAAGGAAGTCATTGACATCGAAAGAAGCAGTCCCTGATTTTCGCATTGCATATAAGCATCTGGAAGGAAACTCGGCGGCTGTTCGTCGGCCGACGAAGGTTTTGTCATTTCTTTGATCAAATCCAGAGTTGTTATACCAGAATCATCTTTAACACACAGTAGACCTTTATTTTGTACAAGGAATATATCAAAACATCATTTTCGCCCCAAAAATTACGGCAAACAACTGGAGTACCAAGCATGGAAAAGTATAAAGAATATGAAATTATTACCTAGATTACGTCAAAACACGCAAAACGAAGAACGGGAAACCCAAGGAGAAGTTTCTGCGGGGAATCAAGTATGACTACCAAGGCAACACCTACAGAACATAGCGAAAGTCACGGTTTTGTTTGTCCGTGAGATCGAGGAAGGCTTTGTCCACCTTCCTCTCTGCACCCGATTGGTCAAGCATGTACACCGCATCATGCTTGTCTTCGGGGGGTTCATGCTCTCGTTTCGTGTTCTCGCCGGCGAACATGAAACGAAGAACCACCAACGCGATACCAGCGGCAAAATTACATGATGTGATAACAGCCCATGGAACGTGGTTCCTACATCAAATTTAGCGTGACCCGTCATGATCGGTGATGCCGAGTTCGTTACGCACCTGGGTTGATATTGTGCCTTCCACATAAACTGACTGACGGCATTGCCAATCGCATACGAGCACAGGACGATGGCATTGGTAGTGATTCCTGTGCAGATATTATTGAGCCTGTGACTAAATGCGGAAAGATAAATGGCTCATACGTTTCGTGTGTCCAGATGTTATCGAACTAACCCAACCAAGGAAGATAGTAAATGGCGCAATCGCGAAGACTGGAAAATGAAATGAGAAGGTCCGTCAGTGTCTTACGCCTCGAGGCGCTTCCCGAATGAAGTCGTGAACATACTTGAAATCCAGTATGAGAATAGCAACCCTATTTTGTTGGAGAACGGAAGCGTGCTAACGAGTATCGAGCCAAGTATCGCAGGAATATACATTAGTACACCAGCATATGACCTGCCGATGGATGGCTGTGAAGCAAGAACCACTCCCAGCCAAATGGTGAGAACTACATCAAGAAGATATGTGAACAAGGTATCGTGCAACAGAAAGAGAGCGCACTTTCGACCCCACCATCAACACAGCCAAGGAGAGTTGTCTGGATACCATTGAAACCGAATTGTGAGACAATCAACTGGCGTTGATTGGTGAGCTGAGATGCATCAGCACTTATCTATGGAAGCTCGAGTTATTAAACGATTCCTTACAGAATTCACGATGTTTCTGATAAAACGCGTGAATGTTTGGATACGCATATGAAATGGTTCAAAAACGTACGCAGACCCTGCAAAGAATGCCATTAACCATGTCTTCGGATCCTTGACAGTTTCAAGGAACCTGCCAAAAAGAGAATGACGTGATGCGTCGCGAATAAGGATATTATAACTCACTGTTCCTTCTTGAAACGTTTGTTCTCTACGCCACCTTGATTTACTTGAATTCTGCGAATCGCCGCGACTCTTTCTTCTGGAGTGAGGAACCGAGCGGTTGTAGGCGAATCAGGGAAGAAAAACCTTGTCAAAGTGAAAGGGATGAATAGGTAATTTGCATGGCGATCATGAGTTGTACGCACCAGAAGAGCACAGAGGTGAACAATGTGATGGTACCAGTGATAATCATGAGCCTTGTACGATCGGTAAGGTAATGCCCCCGGATCATGTAATATTGTGTGTGACTCACCATTGCCAGGGCATGAAAGAGGCTGTGTGCGTGTAAAGAAGGCCATAACTAATAAACCCCAAAATGATCACAGCAAACCCGTTCATCAAAACTGAGAAAATGAGACAGAGAGAATGAACAAATGAATCAGGGCTTACACCAATAACCAACACGCCTCGTTTGTTCGGCGTGAGTATAGAACATGGATGTGACAATCATGAAGCCGGGGGTGATAGCACCTTCGCACATCCCCAGTAAGAAGCGCACCGCTAGCAATGATCCGAAAGATTTGCAAGCAGCATGACATAGCAGGACGACGGCCCACAGAAAGATATTGATGCTGAATACAGTCAGAATAAGGAACATGATGGACGTGAATGACTCCCAGCGCACCTCATCCATTTTCCAACAGGGAAGCGCTGCAATGCCAAGTTCTGAGGGTATTGAAACACGAGATAGCTTAGATAAAATATGGTGCCTAGCCAGTCGTACTGGTTAGCAGTTAGATTTGCATCCGTCCTGACATAGCGAGAGCGAGAGGTTAGTGCATGCAAACGTGACAACATGTGGCCAACACGCACAATATACCCAGCACCGCTGCTTCACCCAGAGTGGTTTTATCCATGAACGTGATTCTACATGGACCGTTCAGAAGAAAGCGTAGTCATTGGCAGTAGGAGGCTCACAAGTACATGACTGTCCGAGTCAATGCGTCTTTGTCAAGCGAATAGCTTCGAGGATCTTAAAGACTTACTGCACATGAATGGCAAAATGTGCCAATCAATCTTGGCTCTATGAGAAGCCATGAATGGAAGGTCTGCGTGATAATGACGATGAAACAACATACCTCAGTCGAGAGGCCTCCTGTGGAGTGAGAGAAGTGTCTGTCTCCACAATCAGCTGAGCGCCTACATCGACGTCGTAGCCGTGCACGATACTAGAGTGATGTATATGGTCCTCCTTTTTCTCTGAATTTTCGCTGACTGAGTCCATGTTTAGTGAACAGCGAAAGAAGAGAGCGAACGTACATACGCCTTATAAGCTCTCTGAGGCTCTACCGCGCCTTTACGGCATTTCTGATCAGTGAAGCGCAGTGGGCGCTGATCCAAGGCGATTAAAGTGACCAAGTTAGTGAATGCCGGCGGACGAAGCCGCAACCATCCGTTGACAACGGCAGTTCTCTAATTCAAACTTAGAGTTTCAAAGAAATTAATTGCTCACCGCAGGTTGGCCGGCCCATCTACCTTGCTTCCCTGCCCTTCACTTCCATCCGTCGCAATCAGAACTTTCCGCGAATACGTTGTCGCCGTGTGGAACAACGCAGATCGATCTGAGCTAACGAACCTACGAAGCAAACCGCATTCCGTCTGTAGAAAAATCTTCATCAACTTTCTTTACTAGTTTCTGTGTTGAGAGTGGTCTATGATGTCTGATTCACATTCTGATGGAACGCAGCCTGACACGAAAGAGTGGGTTCTTGAGCCAGAGACAGAGTATAGGTTCGAGCTCGACCCCGGTATCTCACTAGCAATCAAGGTACGTCGGTATGCAACCACAAGGCAAATTCATTCCAGGCAACCCCGCACATTCTGAACCCACTCCTCAGCTGGCTCATGGACAGGCCGAGGTCTTCGGTGCTGAACTCGCGGAAGGCAAAACATATCTTTTCGGGGCCGAATGCAGGGCCGCAGTTTTCACCTGGCAGGGCTGCACCTTGGAGATAAGTGCTACACCAGGCACCTTGTGTCGTTTCATACAACTTGTGTTGCTAATCTAATTCATTTAGCACATTACAGGTCGCCCCTCCACAGAGTATGTATCCGAGGAAACCCCTATGGCGGCATATGCAAATGTGCACATTGCGTTCGAGCAAATGCGTGTCAGGGCACTCCGTGTCATGCATGGCTCTCCTTCTTCAGATGATAATGCGAGTGCCAATGCAGAGCCCCCAAGAGTCCTTGTTCTTGGTCCAGAGAACTCAGGAAAAACAACAGTATGCAAAATTCTAACAAATTATACTGTTAGAGCAGGGCAGAACTGGTCCCCAGTATTGGTCAACGTCGATCCGAGTGAGGTGAGCATGCGAGAGATGGATCTATCTTTCTTGTGTTGAGTCACGAGTCAGGGTGGTTGGGCAGTTCCTGGAGCAATCTCGGCTGCTCCAATTCGCAGTCCTATAGCTACAGCGTCACCTGCCAATCCTCTTGGCTCTGCTGCAACATCAGCTCCCACTGCCCTCTCTTCGAATGCTTTAATACCGCTAAGCTATTGGTATGGGCATTCAGAAACTAAACGAAACCCAGTCTTACTAGACCGACTCATACGAAATCTGGGAGAAAATATCAGAGAAAGGGATGAAGATGACCCGGAGGGTGCGGTGAATCAGTTTCTGTCTCAAGTGTACGACAATCAATGATTCGTGGATCCCTAGCGCGTGTGTCGGGTTTGATTGTCGACACTCCATCATCTTTTGCATCGAGTTCTGGCAGCGCACCAGACAACAGGCATACGCTCATAAAAGCATGTGTCGATGCTTTCAGAAGTGCGATTCGTTGACTGCATTGGTACTTCATCTGACTTCATGATAGTCAATGTAATTCTCGTGGTTGGACACGAAAAATTGACCGTTGAAATGCAACGCCTGTTTGGCAATCGTTTCACAGTGGTCAAGATACCAAAATCGGGAGGAGTATGTGCTCTTATCGAACCTATATAATGTGTACCTCACAACACCCGACCAGGTTGTTGAATTGGACCATGGTTATCGGGAACGCGTGCACAAGTATCAGTTGCATACTTACATGTATGGCCAAAAAATAGACCCACCCCCTGGGATAACCTCCGCAATTGTTGGAGGCGAAGCGGTGGCAGACCTCGTCCTTTCGCCATCCTCATGTGTCATCAAATTTGAAGATTTGACGATTTATCGCATAGGTGCAGGTAGGCAATATTTCCTCACATATCAACACGTGGCTGATCGCTTGCCGCAGAGAATATGGCTCCCTCTTCTGCGTTGCCTATTGGTGCTGCACGCATGTTGTCGGAGATGCAGCCAGTGCTTGTTGATCCTGCCTCTAGCAGCTCGGGCCTACTTAATTCCATCCTCGCCTTGCTTGCACCCTTCAACCCGGATGAGTCCGAGCGCTATGACGAAGAAATTTTGGACCTGGCTGTAGTCGGTTTCCTTGTTGTGTACGTCTTGCACTTTATTGTGTAGTTTCCAATTTTCTTTCTTTCTCTTATAATTGCTATAGCGTTCATTGCTCACTCTTGCCTTGTCCATCTAGTACCAGTATCGATGCCCCCAACCGGAAAATGACGATTCTCGCGCCTAACCAAGGATCACTTGTCGGCAAGACAGCCCTTATGGGGTCCTTTGATTGGCAGGAATAAAGTTGGACAAAGTCGATTTCATGGGATCATTCCTCAAGGACTCTTGCACATAGAGTCCCTGACCAGACAAATGACTGGGGAACTCGAGCGGCACGTTTAAGGTGTGGCAGGGCACAGCTTTTACTCCATCACTTCAGCGCAGTTGTACTTAACATGGTTCCTTGCAAGATAAACAATTGAACATTGAACGATAACTATGGTTTCCGCAAGGAACGTTACAATCACTACATTTCAGACTAGAGCATAATGATTATAAGGTTTGTCGACCTATTCAAATATCACTTACTGCGCGCCAAATTTGATCTGTTGGTAACTGAGCTTCACTGCTTTCTCTTGACACAAGGTTGTAGATTGTTGCACTAGTTGTCTTTCTATTACGTAGCAAGGTACGAGCGGAGGAACTAGAATTAGGTCTTTGAGCGAACAGTAAACGTGGCGTTCGCACCTCTTACTTCTCCGCTGCGACGACCAACCGCTTCGTGCACTCCGTCGACACAGCGTTTCTTTTCCCCACCCACCTCTCCCTCATTCATTGTGTGACAACACAATTCAACGCCTCGCAAAACATGATTGCTCAAACCACAATCCCAACATTATCTTGGGCCCTGAAGGGACAGATCAGCCAGACACAGCGAGGAGACCCACCCGTCCACGCAGCTCACTCTTTTCTCTTAGGCTAAGTCCTTTCGTGGCCGGGAGGCGCTGCGCGCCTTTGCCCGAAAACCCTCTCACTTAATTTCACTCATGTATAAACGTAACACATCGTTGCAATTCATTCTACCTGAACTTTGTTCCCCTTTCCACCCGAACGACACGCCAACGTGAACCTCAAAGACAACACGCAGTCGAACTGAAGCAGTATCCAAAGTTCTAGGCGCTCCGGAGTGGGATGACCTCAATGTTGAGTAAAGATTGAATACTTGCACCTTTTGTGCATGTTCACCTTTCTTTTGCTCTCGGCTGTACCCGTGTTTACTCGGTACCAACAAATGTCGAGTTCTAAAGTGAAATATGTCAACGATAATCCACGTAGCTGAGGATTGTCTGAGATCATGTGATCGTCATAAATGAACAAGACTTCATGGGAATACACTGATGGTTTGTGCTAATAGTTCAACGAAATGATGCGTACACAGTACCCATTGTAGAAAGAAGAATCAAGTGATGAGCAAGAATGAATGGAATGAAGGAAATGATAATGCAATAGAGTATCCTGTGTGATTAAAGCCTGGACAAGTCCCGACCCCATACGCCACTGCAAATGCAAGTATCAACCATCAGCATTGGCACGAAAAAGAATGCAAAGCCCCGTACCGAATGATCCAGTCTATCATTAAAAGAAACCGTGTCCTGGCCGAAACCTGCTCGCTCCAGTAAACGCTTCGCCACGCGTACATGGCAGCGAGGCCACCCATGAATGACAGGTTGCCCAAATCGAAGACTGCCGCATTGCCAATATACGCGAGACTGCCGAGATGAGTATAGCGGAATGGCTTGGATACAGCTTCGTCTAGATCCTGTATGCCGTTCGCCTCGAGGACTTCTCGTTTCTTCGCTAACTGATTTAGCTTCTTGCCAAGATATTTTCCTTGCTGAGAAGCCACTTGAGCAGTCTGGATCAGGACAGTACCTAAGTTAAGGCAATCATGATATGACGTTTGAACCGCTGGGCACGTACGGCAGGAAGCGCTGTTATCTTATTTCCAATCTCTTCCAACAATTTGCACAGTTCGTTTAAAGAAAGACTGTTGTCTGCATCTGAGTCATACAAATCGAACAAAGTTCGGACCTGAGAGAAAGATTTAATAAGGCCTCCTTATAACATGCACGAAAACTAACCTTCCGCAACTGCGACTCAGCCATGGGAATCCGATGTTTGATCCTTGCAACTACTAGCTGTCAAAACAACGTTTTCTGAAGAAGACCACCAACATACCCATGAAATCAAATTCATCAAAGTCGATCTTGCCATCTTTGTTCTTGTCGGCCTCATCAACCAACTCCAGCAGGTGGCTCACGATGGACGTCTCAATCTATACACCACGAAGTCTATGTCAAGCACCAGGAAACAGTACAAATAGACACACGGTTGCACAATCTCCAATGGCATACACATTGCCCAACGGCGCACCTTTTACACGAAGATGAGCATCGACTTCGATCGCTTTCTTGTGCACTTGATTGGGCAATAAGGCAGAGACACGACGCGTAAAGGGGTTCATTGCAATGCCAGTTGACCACAGGACAAAATTTGTCGGGATCTCATGAGTAGTAATCGATCCATCCGGAGCCCGCACAGTGTACACGACGTGATCAGGGTGGACGGCACTGACCCTAGCAGAAGTGACTAGGTCGACGTTATCACGACGAAACTTTTCCTGATGCAGTTGCTCAGTTAGAGTACTTTGAAGCGCCATCCACAAGTCATCCATACCTCGGCATACTTTGAAATGGCCTCTGAATACTGTGCTTAAAGTAAGGTTTAAATTTTTCTTGGGCGGTTTCACGCACCGTGTTGAGAATATGCTCGCGCGACTGGATTACATGGATCGAAACTTCCTCGCGGCATATCTTGGGGTACTATATGACACAAGTCAGGTAAAACTAAAGATAGAGCGACTCCAAAACATACGTAATTTACGATGTCTTCTTGACAGAAATCGTAGATTTCCTGCATCAACAAAATTCATGTTTATCGGATATGGACACATTTGATAAAGATAGACTTACGGCTGCCGTCTCTACGCCTGTGGGGCCACCTCCACAAACAACAAATGACAACAAACGCTTGCGTTCTTCAGGAGTTGTGATAGGAAGACTGGCCGTTTCGAAGTTATCTGAAAGGCAACAAATGAATGATAGAGGCGCCAGCCGCGAAGGTATTACCAAGGATTCGTCGTCGGATGGCTTGCGCATCCGATATGGTCTTGAGTTGGAAACAGTGTTCTAGACCTTGGATGCCATGCGTACTGGAAGTTGACCCGCATGCAATGATTACTTTATCATAGCTATAAATGATCATTAATGATGTCAAATAACATGAGTGTTTTGATAGTGGCGACTCACGGAAGATAAACATTTTGGGGTTTACCAGTCGAAGTCAGTGTTTCAAGTTCCAGTAACCGCTCAGACATCACGAGGTCAACGGCCTTGGCGTCTACGAAGTGGCCGCGAAGCCGTGCTACGATCTTGCGTAGGGGCTCGACCAAACTACGGACTTGGACTGTACCAACTGCGGCCGCTACATATCACGAGAAGGTTGAGCCAAACTTGTAAAATGAATGTAGCACTTACAAGGTAAAAGCGGAGTAAATGTGGTAAAGGTTTCTGGTGACACGACGGTCACGTGCCAGTCACCGGGAGATAGTGTTTGCAGGACAGAAATAGCCTGGTTGAATGTCTCGTCAGCGATAGCACTGGTGCATGAAGTTTGCTCATTACCCCCCAGCCTCCTCCTACAATCACCAACTTTGGTTTATCCAAAAGTTTCTTTGCTTCATCATCCTCTACGTCATCCACGAGTGCTCTTACAATTGGGAGGTTCTTTGGTCCCCCCTGCTCGGGATGAAGTGCAAGAGGTAACACTGGTACGCGGTGGACATCCTTGTTCGTATAAGTAAAGGCAGTCATGAATGAATATCCCTGCGCCTAGTAACAGAATCCCAAAGGTCGAAGAGAGGGCCGCAAGTCCAGTATATTTTGCTACCAGTAGAATACGGTTAAGTAAACGCGACCTTGGAAGAGGCTCAGTTGGTATCTGTGGTCTTGACTTTGGAGGTTTTGGTGGTGCCAGTGCATCTGTTGCCAGTAGCCGACTCGGAAGAGGCCTGAGAAGAGATGGTCGTATTCCAATCCCTAAGTGAATGATTCTAACCCTGCTTGGCTTACAGACCCGAGTGAGTTGGTACATCCTAGGGCGGGCGCCGCTCTCGAGATACCCGCTAGGTCAGGACTCAGCCTGTGTCGCAAGAAAAAGCAGGAGTTCGAACTTGACTTTAGTAAGTGACGGTGACAATTAAATGAGAGAGGCAATTACATACTATGTAGTATCCGAGCTATAAACGCATGTACATACTGAGTCATCCGAGTTATTCATAGTAGCAGGTCCACTAGCGCTGCACTGACCGAGCTGAACGTCCTCAGGACCTCAAGCCCGTTGGAACTCCTCTACTGGTTTCTTCAAATTTATGTAATCGCGCACCTCCTTTGAAGTTGTTCAAGTTGGGAGTCACCGAATTTGAATCGAGGAAATGGCTACAACTTGAACATATCCCATCACTGTTCTCTCTGGCAGACATGTCCTCTGAACTCCCCCGGATCCCCACTTTAGCAAACTATCAAACCAAAGAAGACAAGGCTGCTGGAGATCCCATTGATGAGAATGCCGCACACAGTGCAGAGAAGACGGTGCACGAAATGGAATCCCTCAAGGGTAAGTTCAGCACTTTATTGAGCTCGTGTGGTGAATATTTGCACCTCTGTTAATCAGGTGCAATTCGTGAGTGAATTCAGAGTCTAGAGCACTTGGGGCTGGCGACGTTTCAGCTGCCTTGGCTGACATCCAAAGGGATGTGGACGACATTTGGAGGACATCTAAGGGAATGTAGACGAATGTTGCAACAGCTTCAGGTGATGCTGCGACAAAACCACGCCATGACCGCCAATATTCAACTTGCGAACCAGAACAACCTGGTACCCGGACCGAGACAATTTTGTTCTACTTCAAAAAATTGTGAGTCACTCAGTTCATATTTCTTTTTCTTGATCCTAAATTGTTATAGACAAGTGGACATGGTTGTGATCTAGCAGTACAGGCGTCCCGGTCAGAACATCTCAACCAGATCCCCCACCCCACATACACACACACATTGTTGTCATCCACTGGGTCGCTGAAGTAGGATTTTGCCCTCCTTTCTGGAATTATGTTACCGATGGGTATACAATGAGACACATCTTCCAGTTAGTCATTTTCTATAACAATGCTTTTGGCGTCCAACCTGCAGATAATGTGGAGGTTAGGAAGTTGAAACTTTGTCGCTGGTTGTGTTCTGTAAGTCTTTTTGTTAGCATGCAGTACTCAGCTTATGATCATGATTTGGTTTAACGCACACGATGCTGTCATTGTTGTCTAGTGAGTGGTCCTGTTTCGTTTAGATACCATCCTCTTGCCACCGTAGAGATAGAAGATCGCCAGCAGGACAGATCCGTCCACCTTCCAAGCAGTCACAGGTAGTGTTTTTAATGCCGACGATGCCACGCCGAATTCATAACGTTAGGATAACGATGAGCGATCGCAGGTGGAGCTAGACACGGAGATGAAGGAAGATTAGGCTACAGGGGACCACCGAGCGCACAGCGGTGTCAACACTTCCGCGGAATCTGCCCCCAATTCTTCAAGTTACCCGTGGCGTTGTCGCCGTAATTCGTGTTGTAATAATATGGTCCTTCCTTCAAAATGGGGAAATACGATCACATTCTCGTCTTGATGGGTCCCGCGAAGTATCGTATACTTTCGGTACCGAGGTCTTTTGGTGTCATGTCAGCTTATCAATAGGGGCCGACAGGCAGTTAAAGCGCGAGCACGGCTCCATGCTGACTTCAGGAGTAAAAGTCTGATTCAAGCGTTCGACAAGATCACTTCGTCCGTGCTGGTTGTTGGCCCGGTCACATTTTGCACTTAGTCGGTTCGTTATCGAATTCGAATAGTAGGGCTAACGATGACTATCTGCGGTCTTGAAGTCAACATACATTTTCAACGTGTAGTATGCTCACTATGTTGAAACTTAAAGTCCCATTTTGTGGTATCAGCAGGGAGTCTGCATGACTCAATGGACATCATGATGCAAGCCTTGAAAGAGAGCAGCTTGGGCGAAGGTTAGTTTAGAGCGCACGAAGGGCCGTGCGGGCGCGTTGGAAATTCTGAGGCTTGGAGAATATGAAAGTCAGTTTGCTCCAACTCTTGAGTCGGAGGCGTATACATGCGCTGTGGAAATTACAGGAGTTCTGAACTGGATGCACAAACATACTTTTGCAATGTCCGTGGAATGGGAAGCCTGGCGGGGACTTTTGCCGCGGCTTCGATAATGTGAGTGGTGAAGGATCCTGCGTGCAATTTAATTAGTAGAAAATGCGTATAAGGTCTTAAACATTAAATATCAAGTGCTTGTCTGAGTTGGCAGATCGCTGGAACTTGCAGCCGCAGCCATCAGACTCGGAATCAGGCAATAGATATCTGTACATGGAACTCAAGCTTAGTTTTCCATCTCGTACAGTCTTCTGTCAAGCATTCGTGGCAATTACATATCAACCCATCGATTTCAGGGTGGTGAATGCACCACAGTCTGTTACACATCAAGCACGGATTTGGATTGCTACGGTAGGGTACAATGTGGGATATAAGTTGAGGGCAAATGATAATGACGAAGATGATAGTGTAGAGAACCAATGATGCAGAATAAACAATCATCCTCGATGAAAAACAAGGAAGCTTCGTTAGCAGCGTCGGCTTCGAGACCGACAATAATTGAATAAAAGATTTGATGCTCGAGAGCGCCGAAGATCTCAGGCGACAATGCCTTCCAACTCTTTGACGACTTCAGACATTGTTGGGCGATCATTAGGATCATGAGCCCACATCCGCTCGAGGAGGTCAATAATGTCTGGACACCATTGTTTCCGCAGGCCTGTGGTAGACGGTCTGAATATCTCGTCAGCATGCGAAATCATTGGACTCCAAGGTGACAATTCACCTCTGGCGTTTCGCTCCAACAATATCATAAATAGCATGCTCATTCATTCCCTTAAATAGACTTAGATGAGACAGGAAGGGCATGGTGATATACTCACCTCCCAGGGGAACTTCTTGTTGGGTAAGTGCCATTGGAACATTTCCCAGTACACCATAGCACACGAAAAGACATCAACTTTGTGGTTGTATTTGGGATGTGCATGCCAAAGCTCGGGCGCTTGCCAGTTAACAGTGCCAACTAGACTTCGAACCATGGACCGCGTGGACTGCTTCACTTTGGCCAGACCAAAGTCTGCAATCTTAGCTGTACCACGAGAAGTAATGAGAATGTTAGACGATTTGCAGTCTCTGTGGATGACGGAGGGCTTGCGCATGTGAAGGTATTCCATGCCACGCGCAATATCCAGCATGATGCTCAACTGTGATGAGGATGCATAGGCAAGAAGAGAAAAGCAAAGTCAAGGGTACGTACAACTTTTTTCAGGGACGGAGCAGGAACATTGCGAATGTAGTCGAAGAGATCACCATTTGAACAAAGTTCGCTGACTATCATGACGGGCGTCTCGCGTGTGTTCTCCGGTATGCTGACACCAAGCTGTAGAGCAGTGTAAATCACGACTTCAATGGTCTCGATGGGGATACTTACGAAGCGAACTATATTCGGATGATCAAAGCCACCGAGAAGCTTGAGTTCTTTGATATCCACTACGACACATGTTCACAACGTGGAAGCCTCATGGATAACGAGTGCGACGTACTTGAATTGAGCTGATCTCGAAATTCCGCAATAGCGACTCGTCTGCCCTTGAACTTGCCGATGAACACATCCTTGAAGCCCCCACTTCCAATCTTCTCCAGTTTCGTGAGTCTATCAGGCGGAATTTCTCGATCTTCTAAACCTAGGCTTTCAAGATCCAATTCTAGCTCTGGCTCTGGCTGAGTCGTATTCTCGCCAGACAAAGGAGTGCGTGGTTCGTCTTGATGAATTCGATGGGAGCGCAAGAGGACTGGAGGGGTATTACTTTCGCTGCGGCTCTTCGCCTTTCTTCGGCCATTAGCACGATGGCAAGTGGTTGATGGTGGACGAATGGTGCCTGTGGAGGAGGGCGAAGAGAACTCGCTCGTTCGTTGATCTCGCCACTGAAGGAGTGACCGCGCAAGTTGAGGCTTCGTACCAGCAACATCCAGATCCCGAGTCTCGCACATCCGGACCAGGTTATCACGACGCATACGGAGAAGGGTCTTCTTGGTGGCCACAGCGAGATCGACTGAAGACTTGTGTAAGTGATATAAAAAACCAAGAAAAAAAAATAAACCAACAGTCATCTCCGTCTATGGCTTCATCGATCTCCTCAGCCTCCTCGATCTCCTCCTCCTCCCCCTCAGCGTCGATGTCAATATCCTCAGCCTCTAGGTCAACCGACTCGTTACCATCTTGCTCCTCATCTTCGCCAGGCGCATCCTCTTGCCACTCTTCCCCAACCACCTTCCCGTTGCGGAGCTTCCTTGGAGTAGTTGTTGGCGGAGGTAACGTACATTCCTCCACGTATACATCATCATCTCCGTCAGCATCTCGACTATCTTCTGACTGCTCGTCATCCATGCTCGAGCAATCCTCGTTCGCCTCTACGTCCTCTTCGACTTGTTCCTCATCGGCTTCCTCTTCGTCATCACCTTCCCCTCCATCGCTTGGGGGAGTATGTGTTTGTAGTCTGCGAGGGCGAAGACGTCTTTTCGCGGGCGTTGCTCGACATCGCATGGGCGGCGGAGTAGGCGATGGCGATGAGATAAGTTCATCGACCTCTTCCTCGTCCTCCAAACAATCTTCTACCTCCTCCCCTCTCGAAGTCTGCCGTCTAGCCCTTCCCCGTTGCTTTGGCGTATCAGACTCCTGATCATCGCTAACTTCACCTCGTTTCTCCCGACTTCGCAGCCGACGAGGACTGGGTGAGCCCGATGCAATCTTCTCATCCAGCTCAGTGAGATCAGTAAGCTCGCTCTCCTCGCCCAATGCAACAGATTCAGCGATCTTAACATCCTCGCTGAATTCGACTTGTTTGCCCTTGCCCTTGCACCTAGTGGAGATACGTGGAATGACAACCTCGGCGGATACTTTACGAGCACGCAATCTCGTAGCAGGAGGGGATGGAAGCTGATTAGAGGAACTTGGTGTGGGCGAAGATCGGCTGGATGTAGACCTAGTTGTCCGTCGTCTGAGTGAGAGATTAGCACACTGAATTCAATTCGGAAAATTCAACTAACGTCAGGGCAACAGTACCATTAGTCTTGCAGGCAGCCGGTAGCTCGTCGGGGTATGAGTGACTTGCGTTGAGGTGGCCGACAGATAAACTACGTGTTTTTAAGAAGCGTGAATTTGCCTGGTTTGTAGCCAAGTGAACTGTAGCGCGGCGGCGCAGACCTGGGGGAACTCGATATCTGGTTCCAGCGTCCGTTTCCTCACCACCTGCTGCGTTCCCCTCGTCCGAGGAGCAGTCGCTCCCATCCCGCCCAGGAGATGAGGGAGGTAACGATACGATATCGTCTCGCGCTGCAATAATTGCTTCTGCGAGCTCCAGCTTCGTAAGGTTGTGCGCATCGTCCGATAGACCCGCGGCAGTATACAACTTGAGAAGTTCGTCTTTTCGACGACGTTTGAGCTGGCCCAAGGATGCTTCATTTATCAAAAATTCATCGGCTGATAGTACATTTAAAAAAAATTAGCGCATCAAAGATCATAATGCAGAAGTACTTACACGCTTCTTCATCGCAGTCAATTTCAGAAGCGTCAGATACACTCCAGCGACCAGGAACATCGACTTCCATCTCACTAGGTTCTTCGCTGGATGAGTCCCGGATCGGTGAAGCTTTAAGTTTCTTCAGTTTCGGAGCCCCACGCGCGGGCCGACATCCAGACATATTTTCATTAATCGACGCGACGCGTTTCCTTTTCGAACCAATAGGAACGTCAAGATTTTGACTCACATCTCGAATGCTGTTTTTCATCAAAAGATACTGACGGGATGGAAGCCGTCGCAAATTGGGATGCAATGTAGCCAGTATGGGACGCGAATCAATGGTAGTGTCTGAAGATGACGGTGGAGACGCGCCCACCGCGTGGGAATTAGCTGAGGAACGCTGGAATCTATTCACGAAAGCAAGAGCGCGTTTGGCAACCGAAGTATGGCGGAGGGAGTACTGTCTACGCGCCAGATTATTGCTGTTTTGGGAAAATGAGACTCTATGTGGTGAACGGCGTTGAACCATGTCCACAGCAACAATATCTGGTCCAGTCTATTGGATCGATTGTCACCAACCCTTTAGAGGAGGTCGTTGAAAAGTGCGAATATCCAGTTTGTTGAAGGAATAAAGGTGCAAGTGCGGATTAAAATCGGTCAAAGGACCTCTGGGTCGTTTCAGCCTTCGTCGTCGTCGTCGGTGTTGAAATCATTGGTTTCCGACACAGTTTCAACCCCTGCCACAACGTCAATAAGACCAAATAACTGGTGGCGTGGGCTTGCTTGTTCAAATATAGTAATCATCTCACAGGACGAAATCCGACGGATCTGTGCTATACGCAGCCACGGTCGAGACTGACAGTTGGGCACTCTGAAGTTGTGATTAGATGACATAGCGGACGGGCAGTACCTAGAGGGTAAATGATTAACAGGCTGGCTTCCGCACATGCTATATGTTGTAAGATGGGAGTTCTTGATGGGATTTCTAGATTAATCATTTGACAGCTGATGAAAGGAATAGCTGAATCGAGCTTGGTGTACTCCGGTGCCAGAACCTCTTTACCACCGCACATGTATTATGACCTTATAAAAAATCCCGCTGTTCTTGAGGACAGATTCCCGCTCCCCCTTGCTTGTCGTTTTTCTCTCCGTCGAGTCAACAGCAGGATGCTCCTCAAATTTTCAAAGTCGGATATCCTGAACTCAGCTCTCGTTTATCCTGAGACCGGTGCTCTTGGATATACCATCCTTACCAGGTCCCATTTTATTCGTGACAGTAATAAGGATTCAAACACAGAGAGCGAGGACGAAGATGGGGAGAGTCGCAGGACGACTATATATAACAAACTAGGGGAGGTCATCGCTGAGATCGGATGGAAGGGCAAGCAGCCAATAGAGATTGTCATCGGCAAGGAAAAAATCATCGGAGCGAAAGGGATGTTTGGGTGCTCGAGTGCCATACTATCGTACGTTTGCTTTATTCACCTTCATGTCCGCACGTTCTCAACACCACAAAGTCGCAATGTCCTTGGCATACCTACACGCTTCGACACAGAATATTTCTGGATGGCAGCACCAGATGCACTTACAGTTCGTGCTTTCCTTCAAGCCCGGTATCACTACTGAGAGCGACACACAGCTTCTTGACTATGATTCAAATCAGACAAAAGGTTCCTTCCACGCCAATAGTATGCGCGTGGGCGAACGCTTCATTGCTGCTCCCATACCCAGCCTGGGACATGACTATCTAGAGTTTGAAACGCATCCCCTCGCATCAACAGAGGAACTCCTCGGTACATCTTTCCTACTCTTTTTAGCTAGCGTCATCTGATATCACTTCGAAGTTTCATTCATCTTGATGGAAGAACTCCGCCGAAGTCGCTTCAATCTCCATACAGACTCATCAGATCGTTCGAAACTCTGGCGGAGCACACCGCTCGCCAATTGGGGGCGACGATTACGACGGAGATCTATTTGATTAGTTCGGCTTGATCTTTTTCTGTTGCATTCGTGTGCTTTCTTCCCTGCATCTGTTGTTATCGCTGTATATTCATGCTCTGCTTGTCGTCGCTTTCGCTAATGTCGCTCATTCCTGTGTAGCTCTATCAGTCCTATCGCATTTCGTTCAATCTCGTGCATTATTACTCTCTGGCGTTTAATCGCCCTTTTCAATGTAAAATACGGTACTTACTGGTGCTGAGAAGGTTGCCTTCCATCAGCATGACATTCAGGTACTGGATTTATACCAGATAGGCTTGTCGCTCATTATCGTTACAGTGCCAATTATCCTGTGTAGTTTCTAGCACGAACCTTGTCTATGTTGCTACATATTGACATTCAAATTCGCTCAAATTCCGAAGTCATGGGAGTGAACGTCGAACTGAAATCTCCCTGCATGTTTGTTTTTGGCCCATTCTTTACAATCACCCGATGTGGGAACAAAGACTGTGATATAAATGGTGAGCTTCTTTTCTTTGCCGTTCCGAAATGAAGCAATGTGCTTACAGAGGATACTCGCCTAGACTAAATCTGAAGCGTCCCTGACATATGCGCCTACGTTACATTCGATGCGGCTAATTTTTATGGTCATGACACCAAGGCTATCTAAGTGCGATATTCGACGGAAAGTCGCTATCTACGCCAATTGCGTTCATATGCCCCCGACGGTTAACAAATCTCCGACTCCCACGAAGTGCTTTTCTCGGTTAGAAATGTACACATCCAGCACATCTCTGTCAAAAGTTCGTGTGTTTTTCCCTTATCATGATCGGTACTGGATGATCAAATGCATCCCTCACCCACACAGACAAACAACTCGGACCCTTGATACATACAGGCTGGTTCCCTCCGAACACTCTAGTAGTTCAAAAACAAACACGTCGTGACATCGTCATGAATGCTCCCCGGCAGTTCGGAGACTCTCAGACGAAGCTCAAGATTGCTGCTCAGGTTCTCGCTCGCTCATCACAAGCCGAAGACAGCTATTGTCGTTCTTGCCTGCACATAAGAACGGACCGACCCGCTTGTCATATGTAGCCTCACATTGATCTGTTTAATCAGGGAATTTACCTTCAGCTTCAGGCTTGCAAGAATGATGTCAGAAGCTTAGGTGTACTACATGGCACCCTAGGGATTGAGGAATTGGTGCACCACTACAATTTTACTTTTAGTCTCGACGCCAAGACTTTGAACAAACTTCGACATAGCACAATATTCGTTGGTATGTTTTTACCTCTAAGAATGTCACAACTACCACTAGATTTCTATCAATTCTTATCCTGACCATCACTCGTACACATTTGCGATCGTGTACATCTTGGTAGTGGACACAGGCTTCACTGGTTCCTCGCCATAAATCTTCTCCATCTTGTACATCGTCGTGGAAGGAATGGGACCAGCGTCGGCGGTAGTCTTCGAGGCCGGCACTGGAGCTTCAACATTAACAGCAACAGGCTTCCCCGCCTTACTGGCCAAATTAGCCGCGCGCCCATCAGGAATGCGGATGAACTCGAGCTTCCCATCCTCCGCAGTGCCGTCAAAGATGAAATAACCCTTCCTCTCAAACTGAATAATGTCCCCTTTAGTGAGTGTGCTTACGTTCGCATCTGCAAACGCCTCCTCCCGGAACTCGCTCACTGGCGTGACGAAATCTTTGATGTCATCCGTTTCCTCAAGCTTCTTCTTCGTGATCAGGTAGTCGTAGTCAAGGAGCGTTATGTTGACTAATGGGTAATCATTGGTGGGTTGTGCAAGCCAAGTAATCTTTTTCTTCGTCTTGCGGAAATCGCCCTCAAGATGGAGATCCATCGTGAGAGAAGTGATATCGCCCGAGGGGCCCGTGGTCTTAGACCGGACGATGGCATTTCCCCAGTCCATCAACGTTATCTGATGCGATCGGTGCGGATGAGACTTGTCTCACGGCTATCGTTGGCATGACATACCTCTTCTTGATCATCGAAGGAAATGGCATCTTCCTGCTCGACAAGGATGGTAGACGTAAATACGGTCCTTTTCTCGCCGACATCTGGATTTTTCTTATGTCGTGGTAAGGTCTTCACCTCGAGTGCAAGGGGGCCACCGTTGATGGTTACAAAGACACTGTGGATGACTGTGTCAGCTTGCAGACAGGTGGGTGGTGATGACGGCACCTGTTATTCTTCACAATGGCCCAGAACCGCGGAGCAACAGGATCGATTACTTTTTTATTGATGGCCCAGATCATATCCCACTCGAGCGATACGATGGCTTGTGAAGGCCCCTGAGCCAACATGAACTGTGACAGCGCATCCACAGTCAGTCCGCGTCTACGGATCCCTGCCGCAGTCGCATCAGAAACAGCCTTGTGCTCCCAAGGAGAACTAACCCCGAATGGTTGGGAAACGTGGGTCATCCCAACCCCTGACTATTCCGTTGTCCACAAACCAATGCAACTTCCGCTTGGACAAAAGTGTATAGATGAAACTTAGACGACTGCGGAGGTGTCAGTAGTTTTCAAGTACAGATCCAAGAGAGAGATCGACCTGAAGTCCCAGATGTCAACACCGCGCATCCCAAGAGCTTTGATCATCCACTGATATTGCGCATTTCGCTCGCGGTATTCGTTCGTTCTGAGGGCATGGGTAACTCCCTCAAGGGAGTCTACGATTGGGCACGCAAAATCGTAGGTGGGGTATATTTTCCACTTATCTCTGTAAGATAGATCAATATTCAGTGAAAATTAAATTAGATGGCTCCATACCCAGTTCGGTGATGATGGATCAAGTTACATCGGTAAATGACAGGGTCACGCAGAGCTTTGTTCTGATCGTCCACGCTGATTTTCGCGCGGATGCACCACCTCAGTCCTTCTGGAGATCCGATCTTCATCTCCTCAAAGTGCCTCAGATTGTCCTCGATCGAGTCATCTCGATGAGCAGATGCAACACCTTTGCCTCGTTCCTCGCGCATCTATTTTTTGGTCATATTGTCATTTATGCATGATTCTTAAACTAAAGTTTCGCACCTGTAATTGCTCTGTATCATCGGCGTAAGCTTTACCACTCTTGATGATTTGAATGGCCAATTCATAGATCTGGTCAAAGTAATCTGATGTGTGGGTTATTTTATCCCCACGTATGTTTAGCAGCTCCAAATCTTGCAAGATAGTCTCCTCGAACTCAGCCTAGGCGCTTCACTGTGAGACTTCATGTACTTGTGAATAAAATAGGGGGCTTACCCGTTCCTTTGTGGGATTGGTATCATCAAAACGAATGATCATCTTCCCATTATACATTTTTGCGAAAATACTGGTTCAGCATCGCAGCCTTTCCATGGCCAATGTGGAGATACCCAGAGGGTTCAGGCGGGAAACGTGTGACGACCTGGCCTTCCTTTGCATTTTGGAGGCCAAGAGCAAACCCTGCGGCTGTTTTATTCGATCTGGCTTTATTGGCTTTAGCTGCTGTAAAGCTCGCGAGCGCAGCTTGAATGGGCTCGAGACTCTCGATGTGAGACATCCACCGAAGAAGATGAACATGCTGCTGCCCATTCTTGAGAAATCCGATAAATTTTGGTGCAACTGATGAATGTCAGACGCGACAACATCAACAACTTGGCTGATCGCTCTACCTTTGACTGAACCCCAGATGATGAAATCGGCTGCAGTGATGTCGTGGCCGACGAGGAAGGTGCGGTATGCGAGATGATCATCCAAAGAATCGAGAAGAGCAAGGATATCTGGGATCGCTGTCAATGTCGGCACAGTTTTTGCGAGTTCAAAATACGTGGCAGTCTGAAAGCGATCGGTTAAACTTGGATGAGTTATATCAGGATGTATGATACCTTTACGCTGTCTCCAGCGAGTCCTCCTGCTGTTAGCCAATACGGCTACGATCTCATCGTTCGCAGAGATCTGTGAACCCTCAAAGTCTAGAGTGATACCATCTACTGATTCGTCGTAGTTTATGTCTACTTTCTGTGTGTACGTCGCGATAGCGATCGAAGCGTAAGGAAATGGGGAAGTTTTTGTTGAAAGTGTTATAGACATGATTGTTCAGTCCAAAGAGCAGCGATGATCATGCAACTTGTGACTCACTCGCTGCCAGCAGGATAAACTTTAATCTTATCTAAGTTGGATCGGCTGCTCCCCAGCTGGTTCTCCTACAACAAATAAATTGATCCACTGATCATGATGGAGGGCTACCCTAAGCAATATGTCAAACTACCCCCATGGATTTCCTTCAGGCTGCAAAACCATCTGATGAGGTTTTCCAAATGGGGATAGTGACTGACTTGACAATGACTCCACTTGACTCCATTCGTACTTTAGCATTATTAAAATTGCCGAAGGGGCTTTATGTAAATAACAGAATAAAAGTCGTTAGCCCTTCTGCAGCTGGACAACGGTGTGAAGCACTCGGCTCTAAAATTTTACCTCCTCCAAATAATTTCCCCCCCATCTTATTGCAAATAGTACTTTCATCAAGTTCGCCCATTATGCCTTGCATGCTGTCCGTCCTTTCCAGATTGATTTTCAGAACTTGTTATTAATCGTGACCCGTAGCATTGATCCATCTCAGAAATACAGACCTTACGTACCACTGGTCCTCGACAATCGTCAATGGCCAACCAAGACATTCACCAAGGCTCCCATATGGCTTTCCACAGATCTTCGTGACGGAAACCAGGCATTGGCATGCCCCATGACGGCAGATCAAAAACTCACCTTCTTTCGTTTGCTGGTCAAATGCGGATTCAAGGAAATCGAAATCGCCTACCCTTCTGCTAGCGATACCGATTTTGCATTCGTCAGATATTTGATCGAGAATAATGAGATCCCCGACGATGTATGGATCCAGGTAAGTACTCTTGCGAAGCACTCCGTTACGCCTGCTGATATTTGGATCTACTAGGTTCTGACTCCAGCTCGCGAGGATCTCATCCAAAGATCATTCGAAGCTGTCGCTGGTGCAAAGCATGTCATCATGCACATGTATAACGCGCTTTGTCCTATGTTCCGAGATGTCGTCTTCCGTAACTCGAAGGAACAGACAGTTGAACTGGCCTCTAGACATTCCAGAATCATCAGCGAGCTTGCCGATCAATACTCTGCATCACATGGGATGAAATTCCGTTATGAATACAGCCCGGAGACATTCACCCAGACAGAAATGGAGTTTTCTCTTCAGGTTTGCGAGGCTGTCAAGGCTGCGTGGGGCAAGGCTGGGCCGGGTATCGATCGCATAATCTTCAACCTTCCTGCTACTGTTGAGATTGCTCCTCCTAACCATTATGCTGATCAGGTAGGCGCTTTTATAAAAGCCTCCATCATGTCCATTCACTATTTTCAAAGATCGAATACTTTGCCGCTCATATATCTGAGCGAGAAAACATCATCATTAGTTTGCACCCCCATAATGACAGAGGTACGTCATTGACACATTCAATCACGGACGTATTTTTAAAACTTCATGAAGGTACTGCTATCGCAGCTGCAGAGCTCGCAGTCCTTGGTGGCGCTGATAGAGTTGAAGGCTGTTTGTTCGGTAATGGAGAACGTACAGGAAATGTCGACATTGTGACCCTAGCGTTGAACTTATACACGCAAGGAATCACCCCCAACCTCGACTTTAGCAACATCCAGGAAGTCATCGACACCGTGACCTCCTGCAATGATCTCCCTGTACACCCAAGGCACCCTTACGCTGGCGAGCTCGTCTTTACGGCCTTCTCTGGTTCACATCAGGACGCCATCAAGAAAGGTTTCGAAGCGCAGCGTATTCTTCACAAAAAAAATACCGAGAACGGCGAGCTCAAGATGTGGGAAATACCATATATGCCCCTGGACCCTGCCGACCTCGGATGCAGTTACGAAGCTGTCATTCGTGTTAACGCACAGTCCGGAAAGGGTGGCATTGCGTATCTTGTCAAGCAACACCTGCAACTTGACCTTCCGCGCAATATGCAGATCGGATTCTACAAGGTCATTCAGCAAATATCCGACCGCGAGGCACGCGAAGTCACCGTGGAAGACATCACGACGGCGTTCCGCGAGACTTACCACTTCGGTGGATCGAAGTATGAAGGTAGATTGGCGCTCAAGTCGTTCCGTATTACGGCCGAGCCGTCACCTGATCCCACTCAAGACGATGAACCTTTCGATGAGCGTCGTCGCTTTGATGGCACTATGTTAGTGGATGGCGTATTGCGCGTCATTCGCGGAGATGGCAATGGTCCCATCTCAGCTCTTCTTGACGCTCTGCGCACTCATTTGGAGATCGACATGACCCTTCGCGAGTACACGGAGCACGCAGTTGGCGAGGGAGAAAACTCCAAGGCAGCCTCATACATCGAACTCGTTGCTACCACCGACGACGTCAAAGAAACTCGCTATGCATCTGAGTCATGGTGGGGTGTTGGACTTGACTCTGACATTGCCGCTTCCGGTTTGCACGCCGTGTTGAGTGCCATCAATGCTGCCATTGGCGACCGTGTATTGCCTGAGCTGAAGCTTAGCGTTGGCTTCAACAACACCTCTGGTCATTCGGATGTCTCGGACGCTATCGTCAATACTCTGGGCTTGACGCTCCCCCGTAGATTGCAGAATTCCTTCTTCGAGGTCGTGCAGCGCGCCGTGCGCGAGTCAGATGGCAAAATTTCGTATGAAGACCTTACCCGTCTCTTCCAGGAGACATACGGCTACGAGGTCGAAAACAAGGGCAGGATTTCTCTGGGTGACTTCTGCTTCGAGCGTGTCGAAGGCGGTGGCCCCCAGTTCAAGGGTGATATCGAGATTGACGGCGTGGTGTGTAAGGTTGTTGGTGAGGGCAACGGTCCATTGTCCGCAGCCATCGCCGCGTTGCACTCACAGGTTGAAGGCACTCTTGTCTGTCGCGAGTATTCAGAGCACTCTGTGGGAGAAGGTTCAGGAGTAAAGGCTGTCTCCTTCGTGGAGCTTGTATATGAGCTGCCAGGAAGGGCTAAAAAAGAGGCTGCTTGGGGATTGGGCAGCGACACTGATATCACTGCATCTGGTATCAAGGCTGTTTTGAGAGCGGCAAGCAGACTGAGTGTAGTTGCAAAAAAGGCATAAGATGATGTTGGGATTTATTCATACAATGTATTACCCAGATGTACTTATTAGTATCTGACTTGAACGAAGTACAGTATGCAATTTCTGAGAAGAGGATGCACTGGTCACACCGTGACGCCTCGAGTTTCTGAGCATTTGTGACAAAGGACATAAAGGTACGCGTACTGTCTGGTAGTACGAACACTTCAATCCTGCCATATACTGTCCTTGAACTCAGCCTGAACAATTAACGCTGTACTTTATAGGTGATCAGTCCTGTGAATGTCGTCTCCACCCTCAACTCGCCCCTCAACGTCTTCCAGAGCAAATATGCATGGCTCACAGTCCATATATCCTCCAGGAGGCCTCATGATGTCCAGTTCACGCCCCTTCCTCAACATGATGAATCCAATGAGCCGTACACACCAAGGTTATTTTCAAGCCAACCAGTTTGTTGTCGAGGAAAACGAGAACGAAAGCGCCGAGGAAGATCTAGAAGCAGGCCACGCGACCAGAGGGATCCTGTCCAAGAGCATCAAGTCACATGGAAATCACAGAGTATCATGGGACGGCAAGAGCTCCGACATTAACATGCTACGGCCTAACATACGAAAGGAGGACAAGACGTACGAACAAGAATCAGATGATGATGCCCCTCAGCGCTTCATGATAGAGGATTCTTCAGCGTCTGGCCGGCCCTCTAAAGGCAAGGGCCGCTCACAACCACTTTACTCCACATCTGCACGTTCTGTTCCACATGAAACTGTGTCTCTTACAGATACTCTACCTATGCTTTCAATACCCCCCAGACCGTCAGAAGTAGACATCGACGAACCTCCGCACACGCCACCATATCAGCGGTCACAAGAATCACCCAAACCTATGCGTGGGTTGGACAATTATGAACGTGCCCTCTGGAACTGGGTCAATGTATATAACCTGGACGCGTTTCTGCAGGAGGTGTATCTGTACTATGAGGGCAAAGGGATTTATTCCATAGCGCTAGCAAGAGGTCTCAATCTCCTGTCAGTACTCTTTGTGCATTCCGAAATAAATGCCTGACTGATGATGCGTAGCACAGTAGGATTCGTAATCGGGTTTTCGACATTTCTACTTGGGTGTGTCGACTACAGCCGTATTCGTGAGGATGAAACTACTCGGCTGTCGGACGTAGTGGTCGACCGCTGCGTATCAGAGTGCGCAATTGGTTCCAAGACAGTTACAGTTACAATATACTAACGTGCATGTCATAGGTTCTCTGGATTTACGCTACTCTTCTTTCTGCTTTTTGCTGGGTTCTATGTCTGGCAAATTATATCTTTTGTCTTCGAGGTCATGCGTTTGGTAGATATGTATAAATTCTATACCTACCTCCTACGCGTCCCAGATGTACGTACACTTCAGTCTTTATCCTTACTTTGGTGCTCATACAGTACGGGTGTAGGCCGACATATCGACCATCGCCTGGCCTGAAATCGTGCGCAGGATAGGCGCAATACGAGAAGAAAACCCCATAACGGCCATATCTTCAGCGCACGGCACTAATGCTGCAACGCCAGCCACTGCTTCTCTCGACGCACACGATATCGCGAATCGCATCATGCGGCAAGAGAACTACCTCATTGCATTGTTTAATAAGGACTTGCTTGATCTTCGCGTGCCGCTTCCTCCCAGACTTAAGCAAATATTGAGGCAAAGTGATGATGGCAAGGGGCGGACGTTAACGAGGGTGTTGGAGTGGAATTTACGGTTTTGTTTGATGGAGTATCTGTTCGACCCGCAAGGACGTGTCAGGAAGGTGTTCTTAAAGACCAAGAACAGGGCCGTGTTAATTGAAGGGTGCGCCTTTTTCCCAGCTAAACGCGAGGAAGTTTACGCTCGTGTGATTTAGGCTTCGTCGACGCCTCATTTTTGTGGGTATATTGAACGCTATCTTTGCACCATTTATTTTCCTCTACATGATCATGTATTCATTCTTCCGTTATTTCGAGGTGGGTCACTTTTGTGATGACTTGCGGTGTTGCCTAACATTCTGCAGGAATACCACAAAAATCCGTCATCCATTGGTAGTCGACGCTACACGCCCTTTGCGCAGTGGAAGTTTCGCGAGTTCAACGAACTCTCGCATCTCTTCACGCGGCGATTAGACGAGTCACATCCTCTAGCGAGCATGTATATTGGTCAATTTCCCAACGAGAAGATAACCATCATCATGCGGTTCGTTCATGACTTCTCTTTTCATCGACTGTACTGACCACTTGTTTAGATTTGTGGCTTTTGTTGCCGGGTCCTTTGCGGCGGTGCTCGTGCTCGCGTCTGTCATTGATCCCGATTTGGTCTTGCATTTTGAGATCACGCCGCATAGGACTGTCTTGTTTTATCTTGGTATTTTTGGGGCCGTGCTTGCCGTTGCGAGAGGAATGATACCAGAGGATAACAGGGTGTTCGATCCTGAGCTGCTCATGACGGAGGTCATCCAATATACGCATTACATGCCAGATGAATGGAAGACGGAGTTACATTCCAAGAAGGTTGGTCCTGGCTTTTCCCATCGTCGAATTTACTTCTTTACATTGAATCGTAACAGGTTCACCAAGAATTCGGAGAGCTTTTTGCGATGAAGATACCCATTTTCATACAAGAGATCGTCTCAGTCTTGACGACACCATTCATACTCTGGTTTTCACTGCCCTCATGTGCACCCGCTATTATCGACTTTTTCCATGATTTCACTGTCTGGATACCTGGGAGAGGGTACATATGCAGCTTTGCTGAGTTCGATTTCAAGAGGCACGGCAATGTCAAGGTGAGACAGTCGTTTTAAGTCGTTGTCTACGTCTGCTGACCGTTGTGTAGTTCGGAGCTCCTGCGCAGAACCAAGATGAGCGTATGATGTCTCGAGAGGGCAAGATGGAAAAGAGCTTTTTGAATTTCAAGGTTTGTGAATGTAATATATAATAGTCCGTATCTCTGATGACTATTTCTGTCATTCAGGCAGCGAACCCCGATTGGAATCCATCAGATCCCTCCGGCTCCCTGTATCTTAGCCGCATCGCCGACCTCAATGCACGGCGAAAACTTTCTGCTTCAAGAACAGCCTTAGACAATACCATCCTGCTGAACGATGGCAACAAGGACCCTGTGGAGCGTGCTCACGAATACGACCGCGCTCTTCGGCAGAGTCAACATGCTGCCCTCCGGCGAAGACTCCAGCTGGGCGGGGGTAACGTCATCGCAGGTGGAGGCGGTTTCGCTTCCTCGACTATATGGCAGTCTGCCATTGGCTCCAATTCAGCCATGGGCATGGCGCAGACTGCGGTACTAGGCGACTCTCAAGGAAGTATTGCGCCTCCGCCCCCGCCGATACGGGATGAGGATAGGAATTTGGATGGTGGCGTTGGCAGTGGACTGGGCGATTCGTACGTTGATGGGGACACTCAAGGCAAGAAGCCGTACGAGTCGCAGGAGGAAGGGATCAATGACGAAGAAGACTTGGAGGACGGTGGGGTGCTTGGGCTGCTGGCGCAGATATATGCTGCGAAGGGCCCTAAACATGTTCCTGTCATCTGAGTGAGGGACTGCGTACATACTTTCTATTAAATCGCATTAATCATGATGCTTACGAGCGACTACGACGCAAATACCTATCAAGATTTGCCAGACACGCAGTTCATGACGTGGCTCGACTTATCATGCCTTGAGATGCTGCAAACTGGGATGGACTGGGGTAAGGACGATATCGGGTAAATGAGTTGAACGCGACATGCGGTGATATCATAGATGAGACACGTGTAAATGCAAGAAGCACAGAAAGCATGGCTACCTATACATTAGGATAGGCGGGGGTAAGTCCCCGGCTATGACCGATATAGGGTTCCTCGACGCCAAGGGACATTTTTTTATTTAATTGGTTATCAAAAAGCATGGCTAGGCGGCGAGAAGAAGGTTCTAATTGTCCTTGCTCAGTCTCGTCGTGAAGCAGACAACAAGAATTTAGCCAGCAAAACAGGACCTAGGCTACAGAAGTCGGCATTTTCACAAAAATCATATTTCCAGCTCCTTCGACACAAAATTTCGAACATAGATACCATTCTCACCAATACAATTCGTTGCGAGGTCGAATGACCATGATATTGAAGAAGAATTGAATGAGATGGTTTAAGTGCCGAAGTCACGCCGAATGTCACCTGCCGATGTATGCTGCGACGGAATTTTAAACTGCACACACCAACTTTGAAAGTGTCGACTTGATTGCCGAACTGACTTTGAAATCGGCCTATGTGACATGTCGTGACACAGCGCTGACTTCTCGGTGCCAGACAGTGAGAAAGTGTGAGAAAGTGACGGACACAGCAACTTTTATACTCCGCTTGGTTGTGCCGATGGGCCTGCCGTGTCCAAATCGGCCATCGTATTACTGTCTCTTCTGGCTTCTTTCACACCACAAGCACGACATACCTAAAATTTGGAGTCTGTTGTTTTGACATTGATCTTGGTGAGGTGTTTGTAATGTTGAGGGGGCATACGGGAGCCCGTTCTCCACCGAGAGTTCCGAGAGTTCGAACTTCGAAGCTTGTGGTGACGGTCGTCCCGTTGGTCACTGACTATTCATGATGATCGATGATCCTGGGCTCTTTCTCGGACCTCCGTCTTCGTGTCTATTACCGCTCTAGTAAATGAGGTCGCCTTACTTCTGCATGCTAGGTTATCCTCGGCTTGACTCTTGCCCTCGGTCGCTTGCGGCGCAACGTCAAATAGTAACAAGTTCATAATGCAAATCTGGCACTGCTGGATACTAACATTCCTTTGATTGGTTTCATCTATGCGACTGAAGGTTTCAAGACTTCCTGCTTTGGTAAACGTGGAACGACCAAGCGGTGTTGTATCGTGTTCGAGTACTCCGAGGTCCTCCCAGAGATAGGCTTTATGGCTTGAAGAACTAATTAACTCCCGTGCGTTTGGTACAATCTCCCTTCTGGCTGCGGCTCCCTCACAACGATACCGAATTTGCAAGCGCTGGTCTTCGATTTCGTTTGTGGGCACGCATCAAACCTTCCCCAGACCGCGGAAGTGTGAGCGACTCAAGCACTGGTGGCATGCCTAACA